ATTAAAAAACCAAACCCTTTCTTCCTGCTTTTGAGGTTCTTAACTTTTATCCCCTTGAAACAAAACCTTGGTGACTTCTGAAGCAAGGCACCGATTCAAAACCAACCACCCACTTGGCGCCTTCAAAACGGGGAAGTGAAATATTTCTCTCTCTTCCTCTCTGCACCCCCGCGGCTGTCTTCCAGCCACGACCAGCAACGTGGTTCCCACCTTGGCACCCCGTTGGCACACGCTGGCCGTTTTGGGGAGCTTACACACATTTCAGCGACCTCTGTTTTGGCCCCCCCAGACACTCTCCTTTCACAACACAATGCTCCTGGGAGCACAAGGGATGAGCTTCCCCTGGCATGAGGGGGTTGCTTGTGCCATAGCCATTTTTTAAATTTTTTCTTTGTATTTTAGAGGGGCTGCAAAGCTCTCCTGCGAGGGCTCTGGGTGGAGTGAGGAGCAGAGAGACTCCAGGCAAAGCCATCCTCATTAGCAGAGTTTAAAGCTGAATTTACAGCTCAGGAAGGATTTGGCAGACTCGCTGGTATCGTAGGGATGGAAAGCAGTAGTGCTTTCCTTTTTAATCCCCGTGTTTTGCTCTGTGTGCACGTGCTGAGGTGGATTTCAGGAGGAGGGCTCGTGCCTGTGCCGCAGGAAGGTCGGTGTCCTGCGCCCTGCCCCGGGGAGCTCGCCCACTGATTTTCTCCTCCGAGCAGAGGCATTTCAGGTTTCTTTGGGTTAGTCAGAAAGAAGAGAGGTGAGTCTTGTTCCTCCACGAGGGCATCGACTCACAGCATCGTGCTGGGGTGAGATGGAGTGAAAGCAGTGGCTGGATGGGCTGCGGGTCAGCGGGGTGACTGCTGTGGGGTGCACTCACTGCAACAAGGAGCCCTCTGCACCCCTGGGGCTGGGAAACAGCCCCCGGTGGGACAAACCTCCCACCCCGTGGGACAAACCTCCCACCTCGGGGCTGCATCCGAGCCAGCAAGCCTGGCCTGCGAGGCCGGTTTGTGGGATCTCGCCCTGCATCCCCGGCCACGCGCCTGGAGGCTGCTGAGCGTGATTTTGGCAGAGCTGCACCAGCCCCTGGGCAAGGCGAGCATCCCCGGGGCTGGGGAGAGGGACAAAGCCCTGGGGACGTCCCCACAGCAGCAGGGTGGCAGGGCTGTCCCCAGAGCTGCCCCATCGCCCTCTGCATCATCCTCCCTCGCTCCCATCGTGGCCGTGGCCGGGAGCTGGGGCAAGGATCTAAAAATAGTGGTGGGCCCTGTGTATGCATCTTCAGCAAAGAGACTCATAAATGCGGCCGGGACTGAAAATCAATTCTTTAAAGCTGAAATCAATAACAATAACTAATATTAATAGTGATTATCCTTTCTTTATTGCACTTTGCAGTTGGAAATGAATTGTTTTTAAGGATTAGCGGCAGCTGAACTCTGTAATGCAATGTAAGACTGAAGATTTACTATGAAAACACAGCTTATGAGGAAAGACCCATTACCGCTGATGGAATACACTTCTGGAATAGCTCCGGCCACGGCCGCTGCTGCCGCGGAGCAAATGGAGCCTCGGAACCTGCAGTTGGCAGAGGGTTAGGATGTCTGGCAGGAGACAGGGATTTGGGTCTCTAACCCCGTCTGGTTTTCTCGCAGTCTGACTTTTCAGTTCCCAGACATCCCAAATGCATTTTCATTTTTGGTATCTTTTATCTGAAACAGCTTCAGACATGCAAAACTCCGAGGGGGGAGGGGAAGGGAGGGGAGGGGAGGAAGAAAGGGAAGTATGTTAAGCCAGTCATATATATATCTGAGTCAGCCATACGTGTATGAGACAGCAACGTCTAGAGCTATGGGCCGCGTGTGTCAGAGTTTCCAAAAAGCAGAGCGTATGAGGTGTGCGCTGAGCGCTTTAGGAAAGTCTGGTCTCGAGCATCCCCATGGGGGTCCTTGAGCTCTGAGGAACTTCTGCAAAGGGCTCTCCGACAGCCCTGGGTTGAGGTCGGTGCGAAACTCCTGCCGGGGAGGAGGCGCAGCACACCTGGGGGGCACGGGGTCCCCGGGGGCCAGCCCCAGCCCTGCTGCTTGCCCCCGGTTCCTGTTGCCAGCAAGCGGCAGTGCTTCGGGTGCTGAGAGCAGATTTTGATTTGTTTGGGTTTCTTTGGTGTTCTTCGTGGTGCCTGGGGAAATCCTCTTCCAGGAGCTTAGCCACAGACCGGGGCGCGCTCAGGGCTGGTGGGGTGGGCCACGAGGAAGCACCCAGCAGAGCAGAGGGGATCACAAACCAGGGGTATGGTGGCTCGTTGCTCTGCCAAAAGCTTGATTGACTGTCCCTAGAGGGTAGTTATTTGTGAGAAAGCAGTCCCCATCTCTTCCCACGCTGCTCCTCTTATAGGGGCTCTTGGCATCTTGAACCTGAAGGCCACGCACCCTTTCCACGTGTAGCAGCCGTCTGGTAGGCACAGGGCTGGTTATGCATTTAGACTGCATTTAACCTCATTTTTTGTTTTTCTAGAAAGTGATGTTTGCGGTGAGATCTGGCTGCGGCACAGCCAGGGGTGAGTGAGTGGGTGGGAGCCGGGGCTTTGGCTGGGTTCGTTAAGCCCCGGGGATGCAATGCAGCACCCTGCCTGTGCGGCATTTCCCAAATATCTGAGAGAGCTCGGGCAAGGTGACCCATCAGTGGCACGCTTTCTGCTCCTCCAAGGGAAGCTCTTGAAGGCGGAGGAACCACGTATCGCAGGGGACGACTGCATTTTTCAGAAGTGATACTTGTGCTTATTGAAGGTAAACCCTCAACATTTCCTAGAACGACCTTGCTGCTGTGTGTGGCGTTTCCTCAGCTACAAAATTCAGCAGGACGGGGCTGAGGATGACACAAAAACTTGGAAAAAACACAGCGGGTGGGATCCTGCCTCTGTTGGAGGCATGGATCATGTTGCAAATCTCCCTTTGAGCCCTGGCGAGATGGGGTTTTACCATCCTGGCTGGCATCCCCTCCTCCAGCGTGAGCATCCTGAGGCCGTTCAGGTGCAGGGCTCCTCCACCTTTGACTCCCGGGTCATTTACCCACTTCTCTTTCTAACGCTCTGAAGTTTTTTACTATTAGCTGAATTGTAAAGACAAGCAGAATGAAAGCCTTTTGCAAACAGCCATAGATCAGCGGCAGCCGGCATGAGCAGACCGATCGTATCACGTTATTGATCTCTGTTAAAGGGGAGTGACATTTTTCACCTGGGAAGGTTCTTTTATTTTTATTGAAAAAATGGCCTTTTCTCCAGAAATAAAATTGGCCTCTTGCCTCCATTTTTCTCTGCCATTTTAATTCATAGTTGCCTTCCAATTGTATAAAGATTTTTATCATATTTGTCCTAACATCCCCGTGTTTGCTGAAAATCTGTGTTTGAATCAGAAAACGCTCTTTTCAATGGCCACAACATTCTGGTAAGTAGAGCAATAATCATTTACAAAACGAATGGCTCAACGTTTTCCCCGGCGTTGTTTTTCTTCCCTCTCTCGTGCCTTCGACTGCCTCTTCTTTCCACGGGGAAGCCTCGGCCGTCTCGGAAGCAGGAGCCCTGGGAGCTCTCCCGGTGGGGCTGGGCGGTTCGCGAGCTCCCTTCCACTGGTGCCAGCCTGGAAGGATTTACGAGCGTTTGGCTGAGCCTGGCATGTGGTGTGCAGATGTCTCCGGACTGGCTCAGCTTTGAACTTGCTCTAACAATTCAATTTTTTCAGTTGTGCATCATCGCTAATTTCCTCCAACTCGTCTTCTGAGGGCGGGGGGCTGGAAAGCAGCTTCTTTTTTTCCCAGCTCGGAGGCAGCAGGCCCCCACAAAAGGGGGCTGCATGTACTGATTTTCTTGGAAAAGACCCAAAAAGACCCTGGCCTGGGCTGTGAGATGGCAGCAGTGATGATGCTGGGGATGCCTCGTTCTTGAGGGACCTGGGGGTCTGTCTGGGAGGGAAGACTTGTGCCTTGGGTGGGTGCACATGGCATGAGGATGCGCTGAGGCGTGCAGATTCACCTGCTGCCTCCTTGCAGCGTGGCATCTGCTGGGTGGCATCTTGCTGAGATGCTCCTGGCCACATCGTACTTTCCCGATGAGTACATTTTCATAGCAGCAAATGAGTCACGGCGAGGGGCAGGAAGAGGCGACCAACACCCTGCTAGCACACACAGGACCAGGCATCCTGCAGACCTCAGCTCCCAGGCACCTGGGGGATTTTATTCCCAGCTGGCAGAGAGGGAGAGCAGGCAGAGACAGGCGGGGACCGTGGCCAGAGCTGGGTCTGGAGCTCAAAACCCTCCGCAAGGGCTGAGCATCCTTTAGTGACTGTGGGAATCAAAGGGTCTTTTGCAGATCACTCCTTTGGGCCCTTTTTAACCCCAGATGGCAAACACTTGCTCTCTGAGTGCTGCCTGTCCTCCTGGAGGGAGGCTTGGGGCGCGCAGCAGGCAGCGAAGCCCCATTGCTTCACACACACACACATACCAAGTCAATTTTCAGAAAGGAAGTGGTTAGTGATTTTTTTACAGAGCCGGGTCTTCCGCTGTGGTTCCAGCTCCCTGCCTCCCGTCTGCCTGCCTGCCCCGCTGCCAATCTGCCCGGCGAGGGAGGATCAGGAGAAGGAGGGGACAAGACGAGGGGGATGGAGAGGGACCGGGGAGAAATGAGATAACATGTGGATTGATCTGTCCAAAGGTTAAGAAGCTGAACTTATTTAACTCCTGTTAGCTTATTTATTGTCCCTGAGTTATATTTGTGACTGCGACTGAGCAGATTAGTGCGGGATTGCTGGGTAGGTTTAGAAAGCCTCCGCGTTTTGCTAGCTCCATACGCGTGCGCGCATGTGGCCGTGTGCTTGTGTGCGCTATCCATGCTTAGCATCCCCCTTCCCCGCTCCCATTAGGGACGAATGTAAGCACTCATCTATACATTTAGGAGCAGAGAAGGGGAAAAAAAAAAATCCTTGCTCATCAGATCAGAAGCTAAATTTATGCAGGGTACAACATATGCTCTTTATTATACCATGAAAGCGGTGGGTAATCATTCCTCTGTCCTCAGGAACAGGGACACTTTACTGCAGTAAAAAAAATACATATATAAAAAAACCCTCCCACTGGTGGTAAACATATGCGTCATGCACGACTGCGAGAAGCTGGAGCTGGTGAGCACTGGCTGTGGATGAGTAATGTTTGTTACAGCCCCGCTGCCTACCGGGCACTCAGGAGCAGGAGCAGCCCTGCAGGACCTGGTGGTGTCAGGGGGCACAGCACAGACCAAAGGTCCCATCCGAAGCCACCTGCAGGTTCCTGGGGTGGCCTCGCCAGGCTTCCCATCTTCCCCAAAGCCCACTGTGTCCATACAGGGTGGTTTGGGGTTGTCTCGGAGCCTTTCTCGCAGACCTTTTGGTTGCAGTGAATTCAGAGCCCTGCGCTGGGTCTCGCTGCAGGAATGGAGCGAGCAGGCTGGGTGTCACGGATCAGGAGCGAGGTGCATTGCTCAGATGGTGTGGTGAAGATCTTCTGTTGCATCAGTTTCTTTTCTTTCTCTGTCTCTGTAAATCAGCCACAAAAAAAAAAAAAAAAAAAAAAAAAAAAAAAAAAAAAACCACCACAAAACAAAACAAACAAAAAAAAACAATGAGTAATTTCTCTGCGGAATATTCATCTTGAAAAAGCCAGGCCCAGGGATTTGGTGCTCGTGGAGTCTCCCAGCATGTTATTTTTTCTCCCTTTGAGTTTGACAGTGCTTCCGGCTTGCAAACCCAACTGGGAAAGGATCTAAATGGGGAGAGACCTGGGCAAGAGAGGCTGTCAGTGGTGGGTCTGTGCATGGTGGGTCTGGTTTTGGAGCTCGACAACCATCCGTGTGTACAGGGAGAATGGAAATCTCCTCCTGGCAGTGCCAGCCAGCATAAAGGGAGTGGTGTGAGGGGATGCCACGCAGCTGAATTTCATTCAGCTTAATGCAAAGCCCTAACTGCAGTGATGGAGCCCATCGCTTTACCTCCTCCTAACGCAGTGCCACCAGCCTTACTGCAAACACGGAGGGACAGCTGCTTTTTGTGTATTAAAAAAAAAGTCACTGAGCGTTTATTTTATTTATGGAGGAGACAGATAATTGACAGGTGGCTGTCTCGAAGAGATGAAGCCCTCCAGCTAAACACTGCAGCTCCAGCAAGGATGCGAACGACAGAGAAATGGCTCCAGAGGTGATAGACTTGTTACTTTTAACACTGCCAGATATATAAGAGAACAGGGTTGAATCGCAGTTCAGAACAATCATACCTAACCGCTGAACTAAATAAAACTGATGATTTCATACCCGTGTCTACAGCAGCCTTAGTCTGAGCTTGAATTAATGAGCGTGTTGTTGCCTCCTGGAGGGTTCTGCACGCCCGAGGACTTCAAGTTCCAATTTTAGGGCTTGAATGCATCGCCCAGGAGGAAGACAAGGATCAGGAATGGGTGTAGGGGGGTTAAAAGTGTGCTGCCCCTTGAGCCTGGGCAGGTTAGGGTGATATTTTCCCCCCGGCAAAACAAATTTTGCTAGGGGGCAAGCAGGGAACAGGGGATCTTTACTGGTACTGCTGGGCTGGGCTGGCTGGGTCCCTTGGTACCCCACAGGTTGCAAATATCCAGCTTTCCTTGCTTTCCTACTTTGTTTTTGGTAATTTCTCTCTCTCTCTCTTTTTTTTTTTTTTTAAATTTATTATTATTATTTTTTGTTTTGTTTTGTACTGGCCTGCCTGGGACTTTGAAGCCTGCAAATCTCTTCATGGCCTGGACCTCGTGCCTCTCAATGGATCCGTGCCTATTTTGAGGATATACAGCATTATCTGCTGCTGACTACTCTAAACAAAAACAGAAGCTTAAACATTAACCCCTGCACATCACACCACCCCAGCACATTGCTGCCTGAGAACTGACTTCTCATAGGACAGATTTCGCTGGGTTTCTTAATCAACAGAGAACTTTTTTTTTTTTTTTTTAATTTTATTTACTGTTTACTAGAGTTTTCTCCCCCGCAGGGCAGAGCAACGTTTATGATGTAGGATCTCAGGGGCTCTCTCCCCGCCGTGCTGCACGCGGCGGTGATTCAGGGCTGTGCCAGCCGGATCCCGGCGCTCTCCCACCTCCACCCGGCTCCGCAGCAAATCAAAGTGCAACAAATGGCCCTGCATCATCCCTTCGAGGAGCCCTGGGCCTTGTACGTTATCTCGAGGGCAGGGTATATGCTACAATAAAAGGAGGCTTTATTGCCAACTGCGGCGGAGCGAAGGATTCAACCACGTATCGCCTTGTGGGTTCGTCGTAAACTCCCTTTTATGGCCCTTCCAGTTTATGGCTAATGGAGATTTACAGTGGGCAGAAGGAGCCGTGTGTGCTAATTAATGCAGTTATTAGCCTGGGAGGGTTCGGCACAGTGAGCAGCCAGCCTTGCTGCTCGCCCTTTGCCACCCGGCCCTGCCAGGGAGAGGGCGGCGGGCGCTTGGCTGACCCGTGCCTGGCTGGGTGCTGCGGGGCCAAAGTCCTGTCCTGCTCGCTGGGACCCACGGTGGGACAAGGCACCTCGCTGCAGGACAGCTTCAGCCACCGAGGGAGGTCGTGTCTGCTCCAGCTGGCTGCGTCCCCAAAGCCAGCAATGTTTTCTTCAAGTGGGAGGGAGGTGGAAGGGGAGGGGAAGGAGGTGGGTGGGTTTCAGCTGTGATTTTTCCAAGCAGAAGTCAGCGCCCGTCCCCGTGCTCCCCACCTAGAGGAGCCCATTTCGGTGTGCTCAGCCTGCAGTGACAAGGCCAGGCAGGGCAGACACACACAGAGCAGTAGGTATGGCAGTGGGGCTGTGCCAAAAATGCCCCATCCCTCCTGCTCGGGTGCTTTCTGCTGAGCTGAGGCCGTTCTTTAAAAGTCATCGCTGCTCCTCATCCATCTCCAGACCCTGGAGGACTCCTGAACCCAGCTCCAGCCCTCGCACCCCTGCAGACGCTGGATGTGGCCCTGTTAATATCAACCTGGTTCCCATCACACGCTGCTCTGCTGGAGCACAGCCTCAAATGAGGCGGATTTCTGTGTGGCCGCAGCTTTTTGCTACGAACGTTTCATGCCGCTCTGCTTGGCAATTAAAAAGCGAGGAGCCGGGGTGAGAACAGTCCCGCTAATGATTTGCAGTCAGCTCCTTTGAGCCAAGTTGTCTTTGCAAAGCCAAAATTATATCGCATCGCTCTCCAGAAGCTACCACAGAAGTTAAATATTAAGTGGCTTAGGTTGCTGGAAACTTCCGTGGCTCTGGCTGATCACAGGTCAAGGATATCGGCACCGGGAGCGTCCTTGATCGCAGGCAACAGCCATGAACGTGGCCAAGCCCAGAGAGAGAGACTAACAGCAAAGCAGGACCATAAATCCAGCCCATAATCTCCAGGCTGGCCCAGTCCAGGCTTCAGAGAAGCAGTGGAGAAGCAGCCAGAGGTGCCCATAAATCCGGGGGGGACTTTTGGGGATGATGCTGGAGAGCCACCCCTCGGTTTTCAGCGCCTCACCCAGCCGTGTGGGCACAGGCAGGATATTTTGTGCTTGTCTGCCCTGATTTCACCCCAGGAATTTCCTGCAGAAGGAAAAAGGGCCACGGGCTAGGAGCTACAAGGGGGGAAGCCACCAGGAGCTGGGCACCGACCTGCCTTCGAGGGGCTGAGCAAGGGCAGGGAGCGGTTCAGCAGCGGGGTTTGTGACGGAGCAGAGGGCAGGCTGGGCTCGTCGGGATGGAGCGAAAAGCTACAGGCTCCTTCTCACCACGATTATTAATATTCGAGTTAATTAACTTCACTGAGGGCTGGAGGAAATTGAATCTCAAGAACAACCTAAGCCCTGCTTTAGATTTTAAGCCATTTGGAGCTTGGATTCGAAGCTTGTGCTTTTATTATTATTATTTTTAAATCTCTTGATTTTTTAATTTTTTTTTTTTATGCAAACACCTGGCCCACTTTAGAGGCGATATAACAGTAATAAATGATGCTTATTAATTGGCCGTCAGCTGACGGGGAGCAGCAGGCTCCCAGCTCAGCACAGCACACTGGGGGGGATTTGATATGGGGGGCTGGAGGCACTGGGGGGGCCCCACCAGCATCCCAGCGTGGGGGCTCCTGGCAGGTCAGCACAGGGTGGCAGAGCAGGGCAGGGGAGCTTTTGTGAGGTTAAATAAAAAATAATAATAAAAAAGGAAGCTTTTACAAGCCAGGGCTTAAGGACGTGCACTCCCTTTTTGCCCGTTTATTAAGTAATAATGAAACACTTTTGTCAAAGCTTAGGCACCAAATTTCTGACACCAGATGAGCTCTAAAGCTAATCAGGGCCTGGAAAAATGGGAATATAATTAAGGCTGCTGACAGCCCTGTGTCATTAACCTCGCAGCTCTCAGGTGCCACGCTGAACCACAGCTGCAAGAGATACTGTATTACGGGTAGTTGGTTTCAGCTGTGGAAATGAATTTGGCTTTAATGGCTCTGTAATGTCCTCAGAGCTGAGGCACTGATGGTCTGTGCTGGTGCAGCTTGGCTGGACTCTGTGTGCCTCAATGGTAAGCAAGGGAGGCTCTCTGCATCCAGAAAAAATGAGGTTTTTGTGGGTGAAGGTTCAGGCTGGGGCAGTTCTGCAGTGTCCCCTCCTCCCCTATGATTAATTATTATCATCATTAGGAGCGTGGGTGTCTGCTTTGCCCCGGCACCTGGGATTCCTGCCTGTACCCTGCTGTGTCTCTAATCCTCTGATGTAAGCCCTGTGAGCTGTGGGGCTGGTATCCAAGCCACCTACCTGCTCTGTGACTCAGTGCCCCATCCCAGAGCAGAGGCAGGAGCGGTGGGGGCTTGGGGAGGGTGCTCTGGGGCTCACCCATATGTTGAGCCCATCCCTTTTCTTTGGGTTACCTTGCTGTTTGCATGGCTCTGTCCCACTGTGAGGTGTCAAAGCTGTGCTGTCACCACCATGAGGACCCATCAGTCAATTTGTTTTCAGCCCTAAAGGCAGCTCCTGGATGGGGGCACCCCAAGACCCCGGAGAGCCCCCAGTGCTGGGGCGCTGCACCCTGCTGGCTTGCAGGCTCACCCCCAGTGCTGTGGGATTCCTACTGGTGGGAACTGGGGGAGCACCAGTCCTGGTGGTGGTGCAACTTTTAATTTTTTTAATGATTATATAACTTTTTTCCTTCTGGGGATTTTTACTGCTTTATAAGTGGGGAAGTGGCTGTTCCCACCCCTTCCCAGCACAGGCCCCTCCGCATTCTGATTAAAGCCTGCGAGGCGAGTTGGTGGGACATCAGCAGCATCTATTGCAGCTTGGGAGCACCTGGGCTGCTGCCAAGATAAAGACAGCAGCAGCCCTCGGCTGGATCTTCTTATCTGGGGAATCTCAGGGCATGTTTCAGCCGTTTCGCAAGGCGGGTTTCGCAGACAGGTACCCTGGGACACGGAAAGGGGAAAGGACCCGCCTGCGAAGGGAGGCAACCGTGTCACGGCCAGGAATAGCACCCTGGCATCCCGTGACCCAGGCATCTCCTAAAAAAAAAATAAAAAATTAATAAAATAAATAAATAAAAAAGAACATTTCCAGGCACTGAGCAGCCTCGGGAAAGCACGGCGAGGACCACTGTCGGTGCCGCCTCTTCAGATGATCGATGCGCTCCGCGTGGTGCTCGCCAGCACGTTGTGCTGTTCTCCGAGCATGGGCTCTCAGATCTCCCTTGATGTGAAAAGCACCCACTAAGAGCTAACGAGCAGCCAAACACCCGACCCGATCCGGCCCCGATGTTATTTGTTGCTCACCTTCAGCTGTCACTGCGGTGGCATCTGCTGCCCCCGACTTCCTCGCCGCGTCTCGCACTTTCCCTGCAGCCTTCTCGGTTTCTCGGGTGCAAAGCTCGAGCCTTGGACAAGAGCAGAAGCAGTCGGTTGTGTTCTCGCCCTGTCTGCTCCGAAAGCCCCGGAGCGTGCCTGGTGTGAGCAGGGCCCTAGGACCGGGGGAGTTCATGAGAAATTAAAAACAAAAGGGCCTTTATCCATATGGGACCTCGTGAGTGCTCGCATACCCTAGTGATCCCGAGCGCTCCGCGTATGGTTCTTACTTGGTTTTAACTCAATTTCTTTGAGATGCAAATCAGAGGGATTATATTCAGAGGCTGCATCAGAAAGTCTTTAATCCAAATGGGCTATAAGATTTATTTAGAAGAGCCAAATGTCTTGTCTGGGACAGAAGCAACTAAGCTGAACTGAAACAGATGGACGTAAAGGAAATTAAGCAACTCTAATGGTCTTATCCAGAGTTTCAAAGTATTTGGGCTTCCGAGAGCTCGAGCTCCTGGAAGCACGTGATTAGATGGGAAGCTCAGGTTTCATTTAAAAACAGGCTTTGCAGTTCACTGAGAAAAACAATAATAATGTTTTTATTCCTCCTGTGTACAGAGAGGAGGCTGCCTTCCAAGTTCTGACTCCTCAGCTAGGCTTACAACGTCAAATGGAAATATATTGCGGAGGGTTTATGAATCCCTCACTTTTATAACAGTGTCATTATTTCAGCAGGCTGGATTCGGGATTTTGGGAAACCTGATGCTAGCAGTACAGCTCACGGACAGTTGGGTTACTAACACGGGAGAGAACTTCCCTCGGTTTGTTGAGGTATTTTGTTCCCTGCAACGTGCTGTTCCTAAAGGGGACACCTTGGGGCTCCTCCGAGCCTGGATTTTAAGGGGGATGCCAGCACTGCAGGGCCAAGGCTGCCTCTGGTTTTGCGGGCAGAAAAGCCATTCCTGAGATGTTTTGATGCATTTGGTCTGAGGTTGGCTCCGCAGAGAGCAGGGAAAAAAAAAGTGTGAGGACCAAATCCCTACTGCTTACACTTCTGAATCACAGTGAGGGTAAAGTAGCGTGGGTATGGCCCGGGGAGAAAAGCTTAGGTTTGAGTTGGTTCCGCGCTCTTTAGCTTTTAAGCTCTAAATAATGACAAGGTGTCTTTGACACGAGTTATTAA